ATTCCATCCTATGCAACATGTCCAAGGACCGGCCGTCAAGGCTGCCTGAGGTACAACCTTTTGATGACTTCTTCCCCTTGTCCTCAGCAGCAATTGACTTGGGGGTTTCTATGCATAACTCACTCTCACTACTACGCTGCAGAATGGAAAGCAGGCTTCTGATAACCCAATGGCGCGTTTGTGCATGGTAGCAGAGGTTACATAGGACCCTATGCAGGCAACTTGTATTTAGCTTGGGTTCATCAACAAAAAGAAGGACTAGGAGGCAAGACAAAGCTTCATGGTCCAGAAGGAGACGGCCACGTAGGCGGAGAAGACTTTCCATGTTACTACTGGACGGTCTGTAAAATAGTATATAATCAGATGGACAACTCTTCCTCTTTTACTCTCTCCTTTGCTTCCTGAAAAGGCCAACTCCCCATGGCTTCTACTAGCCTTTGTAAAACTACTACACTAGGTTAGCAAACTGTAAAGCTTAATTTCCCCAAAGAAAATCTACGTAGAATTTCACAATCCTGACTAGGATTCTAACATAAATCACCTCAGATAATCAGTAACATCACCAGGGTTATTGTATCCCTCTCCTGGCTAACATCAAGTAAACAAGTATTAGCAAGTAATTTTCAACATCAATACTACAGGAATATAGATGTATTTCTTCTTAATCCTACACTTAGATTGTGATTTAAAAAGCCGCACAACCTTAGGTCAAGCTAGGGCTAGAAGTCAGTTCTTAGTTCTGTAAAATGAAGGGTCTAAATAACGTTCCAACACATCACAAAGTTTACTAAGATAACTGTAAAAAAAAAGCATGGACCTATATAAATCCTGGCTATCTCTTTACCCTACTAGATCTCTGAATATGATTACAGGCAGAAAGTTTTAGAAAAAGGTATGAAAAAACTTTGGCATTGGAAAGGTTATCAAGAGTTATCTTGTCCAACTGATCTTTCCTACTGTATCTGTGAAGACAGATTTAAATTCAAATCATCTAACTCTACACTTCTTGTCTATGGGCACAGTATCTACGCATAGGGTGAACTAGGTAACACAAGATTTAGGATGAGGTCCCCTTTGTAGAACTTTGATTCTAACTATAAACAAACATATAATAAATATACAATAGAAGTTTTAAAGACAGATTCTAGGATAATGTGCCAACAGACAAGAAGTGTAGAGTTAGATGATTTGAATTTAAATCTGTCTT